ATTGACTTATAGGTGTTTATCTCAAGATCATTCTCCAGTAAATTTCTTGCATCCAAATCCTCTGTTTCAGGGTCTGATGCAGCAATAGTTATCATGATGAATTGATCTGAGAAACATCCTTGTAAGGGATATGAGGATTTGTAAGGAAGGAAAGACAAAGATAGATCTTTACTGTCAATGATTGTGATTAGTTCTATTTTTTAAATAATCACAAGATACTGTATACATGCATATTGCCTTTCCAAAATACTGTAAACAAATGCCTAGTGCCACCCGGCATTTAATCTATTTTTTGTTGTTGTTTTGGTTTTGTTGTGGCATTTCAAATTAGAGGCTTTTCATGCTAATGTACAAATTCTGACACTATCACTTACTTCATCATGCCAAACTGCTCTTCTTGCAAAAGTGAGGATGGATAGAAATTTTAGGAGGAAGAATACTTGGGTCAAGGTTGTACACTTACACACCTAGCTTAGGGTATATGCATTTTTAATTTAAGTAGGCATTGCCAAATTTTCTTTATTGCTGCAAGGAGTATATGAGTTCCTGGTTACCTATGTCTGGTGTTACTAGCCTGGCATGTAATAGCTACTATATAGTAGATATTATTTTAGGATAATATTGATGTTATATCACTGAGTTTATGTCTTTAATGACTTTAGCTTTTTGTGCTAACTCATTAAGCTTAACCATGATTTTTAGGGTCAATATGAGATATGGTTATCCACCATTAGAAAAGGTTACTATCAGCATAGCTGATATTTCTGTTACACCTTCATGAGCACCATCCTCAATATCAAGCTTTATTTGCTAGAATTACTGGACAATTTATATTTTACCCCTACATGACAGTGAAATGGTCATATTGACCCATTAGCTAAATTTGTTTCAAGGCTAAATAAATAATTCCCTATTCTTCATTGTACTTCAAATCGTATCTAGTCATGTTATTCAATAAATCTATCAGAATACCTGCAATAAGATTACATTGAATATTAAAAAATATTTCATTACTTATATACAGATAATAGCAGAAACAAGAAGAGAAAAACAACATTATAGAAATGGACACAAATTAAAAAATAAACTTTTCTTCATTGTAAAATTTCCAAAGAAAAATGAAGCTTCAAAGATTAAATATACCTTTAAGTTAAATTCCATAATAGTTAAAGACCAAATTCAAATTCTCCTACCTTTGTGAGACAAAAGTTTCCAGAATAGAAAACTCCTGACTCCTTCCTCCAACAGACACACCAAATGAACATCTATTTATGGATCAATTCCCTATGAGACAAAGTCCGAAACCAGTTGACAGACTCCTACCCACCAGGAAACTTAGAAAACATCTATATGAAATGGGTAAGGAAAGCTGAGGTACGTGTGGGTACAGACCCTGCTCTGGGCACAATGCTATACCATGGAGGAAAAAAATAATCACCAACACCCAACTTTTCCCTGTGGTGAGGAAGGTTTGAACCTCACATATTGCAACCTAATTCTAAAGCTCCCCACATTTTGCCTCTTAATTCACCAATTCTGGAAATGAGGAAATTAGACACACATAGCTCTATACCACAGAAAAAAAAAAAGAAGCAGTTTTATGAGGCATGCAAGCACTTCCAGGGGTATCATTACCTAGATGCAGTGTAGAGAAGGAATTTTTAAAAGGTAGCTCTTTGATTCTGCCCAGAAGGGGCTTATGAACGCTTCAGCGGCTACTTGGTAGCTGACATTCTAACTAACTTGCATTGGAGAGTTTAAGAGGCAGACAATATCTATCAGGATACTAAGAATCAACCTGGAATTTCTGGAACCTTCTTTTTTGGTTCGCCTCAGTGATAAATACAGGTCTATTAATCCCCCCTGGAAGGAGTTTGTCCACACATCAAGCACCCCAAATGGACTGCATCTTAAACTTCCTATCTCTAGGAGGTTTAGGGAAGTGGGCATGGGAGAGTCTTTCTAGATCACAGAACAAGAAAGTAGTTTTAAACAGACATGCGAGTGTTTTCAGGGGCTCCACACCCTGGGAGAAGTGTATAGAAGGAGCTAAAACAGTGAAGCTCCTTGTTTCTCCCTAGATGGGGTTTTCAGTTTATTTTTTGAATGGCTACTTGGTGGCCAGGCTTCTAACTAACTTGCATTGGAGAGATAAAGGAGTGGACAAAAAGTAGCCCTCCAGCAGCCTAAGCATCAACTCAACAATTCCTGTGCCTTTTCCATCACCTCACCCCAGCATTAACTCCAGGTCTATCAATTCCTCATGGAAAAAGCTTATCCTCTCAAGTGCCTGGACTTTTATAGCTATGATCCAAAGGAATGGATCCCAAACATCATAGTCCTAGGAGCAGAGGATACTAGGAATATGTGAATCTCCCTAGATCATAGAACAAAGAGGTGGTTTTAAATGGGTATGCAAATATTTCCAGAGTCTATACCCACTAGGGGTAGTGAAGAAAGGGAGCTGGAATGCACAGCACCCATAAACTTCCAGGGACAGTTTACTATACACCTTTCTAATGGCTACTTGATGGCCTGGCCTCTAGTTTGCATCAGGGGAGTGACAGCAAAGACAAACAATACTCTCCCAGCAGCCTGAACAGGAGCTCAGCGATTTCCAAGCCTTTTCACTGGCTCATCCTAGTGATAAATCCAGGTCTACTGATTCTTCCTGTGAAGAGTTTGTCCATATACAGAATGACAGAATTGCTATTGTTCCCATCCAAAGGACTGTCTTCTTAATGACCTAGGTCTGGTAGTCAATAGGGCTTTGCATTTCTGAGTCTCCTTAGATCACAGAAAACAAAGAGGTGGACATATAACAGGCCTACTTCCAGCAACTCTCTTCTCAGAATCAGAGGGTACAGGCTGAATGCAAGGAAAGGCATTTGCCATAGATTTTCTCTCTTGCTTAGCAGAAAGAGTAGGAAGTAAACACCCTCACTCAGCCTCACTGTAAGAATAGAAGGAACTGGAACACACATCCAATACCCCAACTTTTCTAGCTTCATCTAGAGGGTCTACCTTCTACCTTATTCATCTTGAGGTAGGTAGGACATGGAACATCCTAATTTCCAGAGGGCTACCAGAAACAGAAACAGCAATTTGAGCAAACAGAAAAATTTGAGAGACACCTTAAAATCTCTGTCTGGACATATTGGTGAGATCCTTCTCCTGTGTGAGACCAGCCTGACAAGACTGGGAAAAGCAGTTTCCATCTAATGCACAGAAACCAAAACAGAGTCAAGTAAAATGAAGAAATATGGAAATACATTCCAAATAAAAGAATAAGATGAATCTCTAGAAAATGACCAGAGTGAAATGTAGATATATGATTTACCCAACAGGATATTCTAAATAATGGTCACAAAGATGCTCAGAGAAGACCAGAAAGGCAATGCAAGAACAAACTAAGAATTTTGACAGAGACATAATGTATTAAAAGTCCCAAACAGAAATCATAGAGCTGAAGAATAAGTGTTCTTATCACTGACAAGAAAGATAGGCATAAATTGCAACATATAAAATTTAGTTTTAACATAAATAATTCTCTTATATTTTTTAACAACAAATACTGTAAAATCTTATTTTCTTAGGGTTTTTATATGTGAGAGAGAAGGGATGCTTTAAAATGTGTTTCTTTTCATCTCCCTGAGAAAGAATTTCAGTAGGTCGTGGTGGGAGGTGAAAGGAGAAATTTGAACTGAATGACTATTTAAGCTTTCTTTCACATCAAATACCCAATATTATGTAAATTTTTACATTATTTTGATTATAATTATTTGATATTATTGGGTTGACTTCTTGTCTCTTTAAATACCATTAAACCTTGGTCAGCTGCTTTAAAGGTAATGAAGCATTCAAGACTTCTCTTTGTGTTTTACACTTAAGATTTTTTATTATGGAGTAGCACATATTTGTTATTAGAGAGTATTCAACATCACCACTTTAAGATAATCATTCTTGTTATGGAAAAGTAAATTAGCCAGAAAAATGAGCACTGTGTTTACAAAACCAATGAATTTCATTTTTATCTGAAGAGATTAAAATAAAATAAATATCTAATAAAATCTAGAAAGCAAGGAAATTTATTCAGGGAGTTTATACTCATTGCATCTATTTCTATAGTACATTTGGTCTTGAAATTTATGTACATTTTATTCAGAAGTCAACACTATAGCTATGATCTTTAGGACACCTTGCTTCAAAGATGTCTTGTGTCAAGGATGTCAACTATTCATACATTGTAATAGGTGCTATTTCAGTTGGGGAAGTTAACTTTTTATCAGCTATTCTTACATTTAGATTATTTAAAATAAGTTTAGAACTCTTTTTATAAGAATATCTTTTTATTATAGTAATTTTTCCTTTTTGTCCTTTTCACTTCCTTCTTTTCCTACTTTTGATTAGTGTTACTGAAATGAGCCCTGCCTCACCACCAACATTACCAAAATTACCAAAATGGGGTTCATAACATTATATATTTTTACTAAATATTTTCCACATTTTTATGGATATCAATGACAACTATAAGAAGCACATATGATGAAATGTGTTCATTGACATTGTAACAAGAGCATAATAGTATACATGTTAATGGAGTAGTTTCTTAAGCAAAGATAGTCATTTTTAGATATTTATTTTTCCATCCTGATTATGTACTATAGCTTGCTTCATTATGTACCAGTTATACTGGCCTTTTATCTAGTACTGAATATTCCAAATTTGTTTATGGGATTCATACTTCCTATTCCCTTTTCATGAAGCATTTTGTTCCTCACATGGACAGTTGATTTTACAACTAACTAAAGTATGGAGCTTTACAGAAAAAGGACAGATGAGTTACAATATAAAATCAATATATATTATCTGTACCTATGAAATGGAATGTGAGTTAAATTTGTGATTCTAATCTTCGTAGGTATAGTCTTATAAGCCCTATAAGAATATATTTTGTAAAACAAGAAATGATGTCTGTAATATTCTTCATTATATTCCAGGCATCTAGATGGTATCTGACACTTGTGAAGAGTTCAATAAATATTTTTTAATTAATAAGTAAATGAGTGAATAAATGAATAAAACATGGACTGGTAAGTTTTCTCTCCTATTGATCATTTCATTAATTTAAAATTGAATAGAAATGTGTAGATATAATATTTTAGCCCTTGACATTATATGATAGATTTCCTTTAATTTTACAAATAACTTTAATTTATGGTATGCAAAAAAGTTACCAAAACCATTAATGGATATATGGTTTCTTTCCCTTCAAATTATATCACTAATATGTTAAACTGTTTAGAAAATATTAAAGAAAGAAACTATGGCATGTGTGGCATATAATTTTAAAATTTAGTTTCTATTTGTATTATTATTAATAAAAGTATAGTCTTAAAATGATGGTAATCTTAGATTACTGTTGTAAGTTTATGTTCCTATAATTTGAAACACTGCTTATTTAAATCAATCAAAGAACTTCATAATTTCCATTTGACTTTTCTTATATCTACAAGTTATTTAGAAGTATGTTTTGTACTTTTCTAATATTATTGGGGATTTTCCAGATATCTTTCTGGTATTGGTTTATAATTCAATTCTACTGACATCAGAGAAAGTAGATCTCAATGTTCTCACCATGCTAAAAAACGTGAGCTAGGCCGGGCGCGGTGGCTCACGCCTGTAATCTTAGCACTCTGGGAGGCCGAGGCGGGCGGATTGCTCAAGGTCAGGAGTTCAAAACCAGCCTGAGTGAGACCCCGTCTCTACCATAAAAATAGAAAGAAATTAATTGGCCAACTAATATATATAGAAAAAATTAGCCGGGCATGGTGGCGCATGCCTGTAGTCCCAGCTACTCGGGAGGCTGAGGCAGGAGGATCGCTTGAGCCCAGGAGTTTGAGGTTGCTGTTACCTAGGCTGACACCACGGCACTCACTCTAGCCTGGGCAAGAAAGCAAGACTCTGTCTCAAAAAACAAACAAACAAACAAACAAACAAAAAAAAAACGTGAGCTAATAGATATGTCATGTAGCTTGATTTAATCATTTACCAGGAATACATACATCAAAGCATCACACAGTATATCATAAATACATACAATTTTTGTCACTTATACCTTAATAAAGCTTGGGGAAGAAAAGATAATACACTTTATTGAAAGTTTAAAGAAAGATGTCAATTCTCTCCAAATTGATCTATAGATTTGAAGAAATTCCTCTTAAAATCACTGCAAGATATTTTTGTAGACCTAGAGAACTTTGTTCTAAAATTTATATGGAAAAACACAAGCCTTAGAATAAGTAAAACAATCTTCAAAAGAATAAAATGGGCCAAATCACCTACTCAATGTTAAGGTTTACTATATTGCCACTGTAATCAAGACAATGTAGAATCGGTAAAGGGATGGAAACATAGACTAATGCAGCAGAACAGAAAATCAAGAAATAGATCCACACACATATGTTCAACTGACTTTAAAAAAGGCTGCAAAAATTCCTTTTGCAATAGATGCTAAAGGAATTAATGCAAAAAGTATAGTCTCTTCAATAAATGGCAGTGAAACAAATATATATATATATATATATATACACAAGCAAGAAAAATGAATGTTGGCTTAAATCTCACACCTTATAAACAATTAATTCAATATTAATTACAAACTTAAATATAAAATGTAAACCTTTACAACATTTAGAAAAATAGAAACAAATGTTCAGGGCATAGGGCTAGGGAAAGACTCCTTAATCCTGACAACAAAGACATAATCCATTAAAGAATAATTTGATAAATTGGACCTTATCAAAATTTAAAAATATAATTTGCTCTTTGAAAGACCTTTTTAAGAGGAGTAAAAACTAGCTACAAACTGGGAAAATATTTGTAAACCACATATCCAATAAAGGACTTGCTGAATATATAAGAATATATAAGTCTTAAAACTCAAGAGTAAAATAAACAACAATAAAAAAACCCCAAGCAGTCCAATTAGAAAATGGGAAGGATACATGAACAGAGATTTTATTCAAGAGGTTATATATGGAATGAAGTACATGAAAATATGTTCAACATTATCAGTCATTAGGAAAATAGAAGTTAAAAGCACTATGAGATATCACTACATGCCTATCAGAATGGGTACCATAAAAAACAGTAAAAACACCACATGCTAGTAAGAGTGCAAATAAACTGGAAGACTCATAAATTGCTGATAATGTAAGCTAGTATAGTCACTTGGAAGAATATGGAAGTTATTTACAAAACTAAATATGCATTTATCATATGATGCAGCAAATGCACTCTTGGGCATTTATTTCAAATAAATGTAAACTTATATTCACACAAAAACCTATGCATGAATGTTCATCACAGTTTTATTAGGTATAGCCAGAAATTGAAGACAACCCCAAAGTCCTTCAATGGGAAAATGATTAAACTGTGGTACATATATACCATGGAATTGTACTTAGCAACACAAAAGAACAATTTATTGATACACACAATTTGGTTGGGTCTTAGAGGAATTATGCTAAGTTAAAAATGCAAATATAAAAGCATTCCATAACATAGGATTCTTTTTATATAGCATTTATGAAATGACAAAATTATATTGATGAAGAACAGATTAGTGGTCTCCAGAGTTTTTGAATAGTTAGAGAGAAGGATGTGGCTGTAACAATGAAAAGGCAATGTGACAAACTTGTGGTGATGAAAGTATACTATATGACTGTGACAATGGTCACATGAATTTGCACATGTGATAAAATATCACAGAATGAAATAAGTGCACACAGACACACAATGTATATAACACTGTTGAAATATGAATATGTAGAGTGTATTAATTTTTAAGTTCCCAGTCATAATAATGTACAATACTTATGTAAGATGTTGTCATTAGGGGAAACTGAGTGAAGCATATATGGCATCTCTCTGATTATGTACTGCCACTACATCCAATTCAGTAATTATCTCAAAATAAAAAGTTAATAAAAATATAAAGGTGCTCTTTTTGAGCTGATATGGAGTGAATTACTGGATATAATGTAAACATTGAAAAATGTGAGGAAACAAATAAGATGCTAATACAAATATTTACCATATACATGGTAAATAGAAATGGAGTGAAGGAGTAAGACTGCGGTGTGACTGCATATTACTTTTTACTTAATTCTGATTTTCAAAACATATAATTTTTACATATTTAAATCAGAAGCATTTATATACATCAACAGTCACGCTGAGAATCAAATCAAAGACACAGTTCCTTTCACAATAGCAACAACAACAAAAAATACAACAACTAAGAATATATTTAACAAAGGAGGTGAAAAACCTCTATAAGGAGAATTATGAATCAAAGAGGAAGGAAATAACAGAGGATGTAAACAAATGGAAAAAACATTATCAGGCTCATGGATAGCAGAATTAACATTGTTAAAATGTCTATAGTACCCAAAGTGATTTACAGGTTCAATGCAATCCCCATTAAAATACCAATGTTATTTTTCTCTGATCTAGAAAAAATAATTCTATAATTCGTATGGAAGCAGAAAAGAGCCCAAATAGCCACAGCAACCTTAAGCAAAAGGAACAAATCTGTAGGCATCACTTTACCAGACTTCAAGCTATATTAAAAGGCTATAGCAGGTGTCCTCAAACTATGGCCCGTGGGCCACATGTGGGTGTTTTTGCCCATTTGTTTTTTTACTTCCAAATAAGATATGTGCAGTGTGCATAGGAATTTGTTCATAGTTTCTTTAAAAAAAAAAACAAAAAAACAAAAAAAACTATAGTCTGGCCCTCCAATGGTCTGAGGAGCAGTGAACTGGCCCCCTGTTTAAAAAGTTTGAGGACCCCTGGGCTATAGTAACCAAAACAGTATGGCACTGGCACAAGAACAGAGACATAGACCAATGGAACATAACTGAGAACCCAGATATAAAACCATCCACATACTGCCATCTAATCTTTGACAAAGCAGACAACAACATACACTGAGGAAAAGAATCCCTGTTTAATAAATGGTGCTGGGAAAAGTGAATAGCCATAGGTGCAAGATTGAAACAGGATCGTTATTCCTCACAACTCATAGAAATTAATTCAAGATGGATAACAGACTTAAACCTAAGGCATGAAACTATAAGAATTCTATAAGAAATATTTGGAAAACTTTTTTAGAGATCAGCCTAGGCAAAGAATTTATGAACAAGACCCAGAGGTAATCACAGCAAAACCAAAAATTAATAAATGAGATCTGATGAAATTTAAAAGCTCTACATCACCAAGGAAACAATACAACAAATAGACAATGTACAGAATGTGAGAAAATATTCACCAGGTATATATCCAATAAAGGGTTAATAATCAGAATCTACAAAGAACTCAAGCAAATCAGCAAGAAAAAAACCAAACAACCCCATAAAAAAGTGGACAAAAGACATGAACAGAAGTTTTTCAAAAGAAGATAGACTAATGGCCAATAAACATATGAAAAAATGCTCAAAGTCACTCCTAATTAGGGAAATGCAAATCTAAACCACAGTAAGATATCAATATCATCTAACCCCAGTGAGAATGGCTTTTATATAAAAGTCCCATGGAGTTCTATTAAGCCACAAAAAACAATGGTGATCTAGCACCTCTTGTATTACTCTGGATAGAGCTGGAGCCCATTTTACTAAGTGAAGTATCACAAGCATGGAAAAACAAGTACCACATGCACTCACCATCAAATTGGTATTAAGTGATCAACACTTATGTGCACATATAATAGAAACATTCATTGGCTGTTGGGCAGGTGGTAGGGGGGAAGAGGGGATGGGTATATTCAAACTTAATGGGTGTGGTGCACAGCATCTGGGGAATGGGCACACTTGAAGCTCTGACTCAGCTGGGGCAAAGGCAATATATGTAACCTAAATATTTGTACCCCTGTAATATGCTGAAATCATAAAAAATCAGTCCCAAAATAATAGTTGCTGGTATGGATGTGGAGAATCAGGAACACTTTATACACTGTTGGTGGGACTACAAACTAGTACAACCTC